CCCTGCACCACCCTCATGATCTCTGACATGCTCAAGCCTGTGTCTATTGTCAGTCCATGTCATTTAAAGATCTTCCCCTTTTTCACTCATCCTCTGCTTTCCCCCAAATAATATCTTTTTCCTAGGGACTAGCATCTTTTTCCTAGGGACTAGCACCTTCTGGCAGCATGCCCAAAGTATATTCAGTGCAGTTTTATCATCTTTGCCTGTAAGGAGCACCTTGGTGACACTTCCTCCAAGACACATTTCTTTGTTCTTTTAACAGCGTTGTACATTCAATAGTCTTCTCTGTCATCATAATTCAGAGGCATCGGTTCTTTGGTCTTCTTTATTCTTGTTTAACTTTCGCATGCATAGGAAGAAAATGAAAAGTCCATAGCTTGGGCATCTTTGCCCTCTAGCACTTTAAAGAGGTCTTGTCATCAGATTCTCCCAAAGCAATGGATCTTTTGATTTCTCGACTGCTGTCACCATGGGTATTGATTGTGGATCCAAATAAAATGAAATCATTGACAACTTCATTCTTTTCCTCACCTGTTACGATTGTTTTCTCTCTAGAGAGAGAAATACTTAAGCTACTCATAATGGTGCAGATGGCTTGTTAGTACAGCCTAATAACCACAACTCTTGAGTCAATTCCGACTAGATGGCACATAACAACTTCACAATAAATCATGAGGTTCAGATCCACCTAGAGATGTCTCAAAAATAAGTCCTAGCTATTTGAGGCTGAAAGTTCACAGTTTTGAAAATTCTTTGGAGCTGTTCTGCTCTACACACATGGTGCTGTTATGTGATGAACTGATTTGATAGCAACAACAGCAACTCCTAGGAACATTTTACTACAAAGAATTCTGTATCCTCTTTAGTTTCAAGTTATAAAGCACCTTTAAACCAATGTTTTATGGTGAAGAAACCCACAATTAACATCTGCATTTCATAGGCTAGCAATCATTTCATTTATAACAATATAAATGAACTAGCATTTGGACAGCTTTATACTAACATGTTTTCAGAAATCTAGATTGATTTCTCTTATAGAAGCCATAGCAATATATACTTTTTGGGGCAAGATTTCTTTAATACTTACCAGCGTTACATAAGAGACTGAACCCAGAGTATGTGCTATTTTCAGTCAAGTCACAAGAATTTGGAATATAGTGTGAATGCTGTTCTTTGTTTAGATACCAAGAAATCACCAGTTTTACTATGCAGAGCTATAGTCAAAGTCTGTGGTTTTTTGTTTTTGTTTTTGTTTTTTAATTTGCTTGGCTGCTGTTTAACTTTATCAAAGTTCAAAGAAATAAAACTCTTTAAACTTTGATAAATGTTGATAGTTGTAGAGGGGCTTCAGGCCTTTTGTTCATAGGGATGCTACGAGTTGCTGTGCTCGACTAAGGACTTCAAAAGTGATTCACTGAATAATGCTGCTATGGACATTGGTGTACAAATCTTAGTTTTGCCTCAGTTCTCATTTTCTTGGTGTATCTTGAGGTTGTACAATTTGATGGGGGCAGGGTGAGGGAAATTGAAAGAATTTGTTCTTAAAAACAATATATTTGAATTTTGTAAATAAACGAGTAGAAAATTAAAAAAAATTCACTGGCCCTAACTCTGAAATTGTACAGCTCAACAGGAACATATGCTTTATTTTTTTAAACTGTCGTTTACTATGTTGTTGTTGTTCTTATTGTTAATTGCCTTTGAGTCAAGTATGACTCGTAGCGACCCTATGAACAAAAGGCTTGAATCCCCTCTACAACTATCGACATTTATCAAAGTTCACAGAGTTTCTGAAGGCATGTTATATAGGAAGTGGATGCCACTCCTGCTTCCGATTTTTCCTTTGAAGGTGTTAATAACTCACTCCTCATATAATACCAAAAAAAGCCTTATTTTTATTTGACATTTTCTCAGTCCTACCAATAGATACCAAGTTGCAAACTATTGAGTATTAGCTAATTTACCCCAGAAATGTGGTGAAATTTGCATTGAATTTATCTACTTCAATCCCAGCATAATTCGTCTTTATATCAGAAAGTTGGTGCCACTGTAAATTTTACTTCTGTTTTCACCTTAGCAAAGGGAGCGAGATCTTACAACATGGAAAATGTGACCTTTGAGAGTAGCTTACAATTGTTTGTCAAACTGAATTGGACCTGCCAGACCATGTAAACCCTCACATTTTGCAGAAAGCTTTATTCTACCCACAGCTTTGCTTAGAGGTAGCACATGCTTTTCCATGTGTGTGATTTGACTTTCCATCACAGTCTCCTTGTAGATGAGCAACAGTTCTTGTCCTTCCTGTGCCAGATTTCTTTTAATGAGAGAGAATCCCAAGTCCGTCTAAAACTGTGGTTAGCAGGGTGGCCATCCCAAGCTAACTTTCGTATTATTAGTTCTTCAGTTTTAGATATGCTTCAGGTGAAAGCAGAAGAGGCAGAGGAGAGAGATGTGGGAGAGATGCTTGCCTCTTCCTTTTGATCCCTTGCTCTGTCTAAGGAGACTTGTCCTGAGATGGAAGTGGAGGTCCCAGCCCCGCTTTAGGAGTTGTTTTTCCTTCCTCCTGGGCAGCTGTCCTTAGAAAGGTAGAATCGGGATCATTATATAAATATAATGTACAGAAAAGCATAGCCAGTGCATGCATGCATTCATTCATTCATTTATTAGCTTTGTTAGATATTTGTATTGTCTTTTAAAAATAAAGAAATAATTTATTATTCATGTTTAAAAAAAGACAGGTGTACCTATAGAGTCTAATAAGATTTGAGAAAAAGGGACATTACTAGTGTATAACAAAGTGAAAGGACAGTGAAGGAGCTAAAAAAAAAAAAGCTGGAGAGCTAATCCAGCAATGGATTGTTTGATAATTTTAGAACGAGGTTTTTGGCTTAAAAGTCAAGACAGTAGGAGAAATGGTTTCTGCTTACCAGGAGGCAGCAGATGAGTTCCCAGACATCATTAAGAAAGGCATTGAGGAGAAAGGATATCCCTGAACAGGTTTTTAATGCAGATGGAAAAAGAAAATGCCACTACCTTTTTTGGTAAGGAAGAAAAGTGATCACTGAGATTTAAGGAAGGGGTAAGCTAATTCTACTGTTTTGTCCAAATACAGTCAGGTTTATAAATAGGACTGCACTTATCTATAAAGCTACTAATCAGCACCCAAACCTTGAAGAGCAAAGATAAACACTTTGTTGTAAGACTGTAACATAATATACAGAATTTGCATACATGTAACATACAAAATGTTAATTGGTAAGCCTTCAGGACAAAGCAGTCTACCAGTTTGGGGAGTTAGAAATTAAACAAGGATTATCACTGCTCAAGTGGAGGTCAGAACCCCTGAATACATTGTGTAAGAGTCAGCTGTATGTAAAATGAGTTGATATTTTGTTTGGTTGTGTGTTTGGTTATTTTAATAACCCTTTGATATGATGATTTTCTCAATCTCAGTTCACATCAGACCTTTAAGTGTCAGAGCCACGTTTGAGTTACTCTGAGAAGCTGACTCTGCTTTATGAGTTTCTTCTTAGACATTCTTCCGTTGACTCTTGGAATGTCAGAATATGCTGATGCCACTCATAGAGATGAAATGGGGTAATCCCCATATGGTGCAGATGACTCAGACATTTGAATCCCTCCATTCCCTTGGCATACTTTGTTTTGGTGTCTGCTGTGCATCAGGCCTGGTACTTGCTCACTGTCTGCCTCACTGCTGTTGAGCCAGTTCCAACTCATTGCAGCCTTCACTTGGTTTTCTAAGATTTTACATTGTAACAGACTGAAACTGACTACCCTTCTTTGTCCCTTAGAGCTGGTGGTGGTTTTTTACCCCTGGAGACTGGCAGTCTTTTGGTTAGCAGCATTACTTGCCCACCTATGCCTCCAGGGGGCCAGTGCTAGGGATGGGGGGAATATTGTGGGAGGACCTGTAAGACCAGGAATTCTATAATATTGAGTGTTAGTATAGGGTGGAAAATGAGCTGCCTGTATGCATACACAGAGTAGAGAGGCTTGATATTTGCACTAAAAAAATCAGAATTTCTAACTTGTAAACAAGAATATTTTCCTTCAAGACATTTATCGCATTTGAGTACAAAATGTTAAGTGTAGTTTTACTGTTTTCTTAATTTACAGGCTTATCCCCAAATGTAGGGAAGAGTTGGTTAAAAAAGAAGAATAGATTTAGTTTTACATTAAAGTGGTAGGCCTATCTTTCGGCGATCTTTCTTAAAAGGACAGAATGTTTAGTGCCATCTGTCAATGACAAATAACTATTTTTGTATGATCTCTAGTGTTTGTTTCATAAGTGGTTGTATAGATGACTTTTGCACCTGTTGGCTTTGACAAGCATTATATATCAAATATAGAGAAAATTGATTACGTGCAGAGAGAAAATGATATGAATTGAATTCAGAACCATTTTCTGTTTCTTATAATAAAATGATTGCTCCAAGAATTCCATCTGATGACAATAGAAAGCCCACTGCATTTTATGACATAACTGATAAAATCTGCATCCATGGTCTTCCAGTAACCTTTATACCAGCAGATGGTGGGCATAAAGATTCATTCATCGTTTATTTACAGTGGACTTTATTTATTCTGGTGTCAACATCTGCCCCAGGGAATGGATAATTAAATTCATATGTGAAGCTCTGGGTCATTTGCTTCCTTTCAAATTTGTCTTCAGAGCTTAGTTGTTAGGAGTCCATTCTGTGCTCTAATGATTCATGTATTGTGAAGCCATTCAGTAAATTGGGTTGTCAGGGATTGCCAGGAAGGGTTTTGAGGTCTTGTTCCTGGGAGGGGGCTGCAGGGCTTGCATGTGTGATGGCTTGACTAGTGGTATTATGTAACTTTTTCATAAAGCAGGTGACTTTTTTATCTTTCTCTTCATGGACCTCTTTCCTACCTCCCCAAGCCTCATATGGATGTGAACACAGGTATACAACAGCTGACTAAATGTAAACTCTCCACCTTTTCTTTCCTAACAGGCAGGGCAAGAGTCCTTTCGCTCCATCACAAGGTCATATTACAGAGGCGCAGCAGGTGCTGTCCTAGTATATGATATTACAAGGTTAGAAACTGGATATAGTTCACTTTAGTGCTTAATATGGAGAATTTCTTAGTAATAAGATTACCAATACTGAATATGGTATATACTGAATATACTTTGCCCTTTATACTCTGCTTATTTGTCTTTAAAATTTGTATTTCTTACATCTAAATTTACCACAGGAATCTACAACTGAATTCTTTTAATACAAAAAGGCAGTCACAAATTTATCAGTTTTGTGTTATTATTCATTCATTGGAAGTTCATCAAATGATACTACATTTCATTTCTAAACTGAAATGTAACTGTCGGCTCAGAAAGTCTACTTGAGAGCTGTTTCTCATTACATAAATGGTTACAGCTAAAAACAATTCTCTTTAATGGAATACCATTCATATATATTCTTTAGCAAGAATAAATTACTAATCAAAATATTATTTGTGTTTAGGAGAGATACATTCAACCACTTGACAGCCTGGTTAGAAGATGCCTGCCAACATTCTAATTCCAACATGGTCATTATGCTGATAGGAAATAAAAGGTAAAAAACTCTGAGATTGAATTTTTACACTCATGTTGAAGGCTGTGCTATTTGTGTAGCTACTTTTTCTTTTGTCCAAATGTAAATTACTGATTTCTTATAAAATTTTGAAAGTTCTAAAGTATTTCTCATTAATAATAAAATAATTTTAAAATGGATAAGAAGGTCTGAATTAGGATACTGAAGAAAATGGCAAATAAATACATGAATGTATTTCTAAATACTTTACTAATTATGAAGCTGTGGTATATTCACAAATGGAATACTAGGCTGCATTGAAAAACAAAGAACACATGAAATATTATACAAAATGGGTGACCCTGGAGGACATTATGCTGAGTGAAATATCTCAATCACAAAAAGACAAAAACTGCATAGTGCCACTATTGTAAAATGGGACTGACGTTGGCATTGGGGGGAACCTAAGACAAGAGGGGACAAATAATGTATACTGCACTGAAGCAGATGAAGGAAAGAACTGTTTAAAAGGAATATAGGATTAGGTATTATTTTCACGACAAGATTCCAGAAAAAGAAATGCATAGTAAGGTGGAAAGTGGACTGGGGTGGGGGAGAGGACTGTATAACAATGAAAGAATTTTTTTTTTCTTTTCAAAGAGAAAAATGAACTGGGGAGGGGAGGGGAGGGAGGAAAATGTGCAACAATGAATGAATGGGAAAAAATTAAATCACGGGTTGGTTTGCTGACTGAAAGGTTAGTGTTTTGCATCCACTAGCCACTTCTTTTTTTTTCTAATTTAGGTTAGCCACTTCTAATGACAAAAGATAGGTAACTTCTTTTGAAGATTGACATCCTCAGAGACTTGATGGTAAATGACTGTGAATCAGAATTGACCACAGTAGGTTTGGTTTTGGTGCTGTATCATTATGTTATTGTTGTTGTGTGCTGTTGAGTCAGAACCAACCCATTGTTTAACCTCCAGAGGCAGTAAATCACACAGAAGGAGATTGCTCATCCCACAGAGGACCAGGTGGATTGAAACCACATGCCTTCAGGTTGGCAGCACAGTTTATTACCACAGTGGCATTAATTAAAAGGATTGCCGCTGTTGTTGTTATGTGCCATCGAGTCATCTGCAACTCATAGTGACCCTATGTACAGCAGCCCTAAACCCTGTTCTGTCCTGTGCCAATCTCACTCTCTCCAATACACCTACTCTTATTACCCTAGTCACTGAATCAACCCACCACATAGAGGGTCTTCCTCTCCTGCACTGTTCCTCTACCCTCCCAAGCATGACATCTCTCTCCATGGATTGGTCCCTCCTTGCAACATGTCCAGAGTATGTCAGAAGAAGCTTCAGAACCTTGCCTCCAAGGAGCAGCCTGGTTTTACCCTCTCTAGGATGAACCTATTTTCATAGCAGTCATGGTATATCAATACTCTTCACCAACACCACAGCTCAAAGCCATCAATTTACCTTCTATCCTGCCTAGTCATTGTCCAGCTCTCTGATGCATAGCAAGTGATTACAAATAACATGACCTGTATCCAATGCACCTTAGTCTCCAGAGTGACATCATTGCTCTTCAGGGAGAAGTCCCTAAAAGCAGACTTTCCCATCACAATACATCTTTTAATTTCCTGGCTGCTGGTGCCAAGAGTGTAAAAGGATTAATCATATCAAATATTGGCAAGAATGTGAACAAACTGAAAATCTTTTTTTTGGGTTTTTCTTTTATTGGGAAAAACGTATTGGGGGTACAAGGAGGTGAGATTTGGGGGCAGAAGGGTGAGGATGGACCAGGATGCAGTTGCAGAGCTGCACAGTTTGGTCGGTGGGGGGAGCAGGTGAAGGAAATGATGAGGGTCCAGTGGAGATCAGATGCTACAGAGGAATGACAAGCATTTTCCAATGGTAATTAAACCAACTGTCTTATTGATTTGGGAATTGGATGCCGACTCTCTGGCTTCTTCATGCTGAACAGGGGCATAGATGTAAAGGGGGAAAGGGAGGACGCTTTATCTCCTTACTGGTGGTCTTGGGTTAAAGCTGCTTGCCTTCTTGCTATGTTAGAAGATATTTTCCTGTCATTTGCTCCCCTCTGGACTGCAAAGTGTTTTCCCAGGTGGGTCCAGTGGGGATGGCTGGTTGAACCCAGAGGCTCCATCCTCCTTTGCTTCCTTAGCTGTTGGTTGTATTTCCTTTTTGTCACTGGCACTGGGTTCAGGGTCAATTCTGGAATAAAACTCAGTGTTAAGGTTACCTATAGGAAAGGGAGCAAACCTAGAGAGAACAAACTTGTGAGTTACAAATAGAAGGGCTTTGAGGATGTTGCTTTCAGGTTTACTGAGGGGGAGGGTGGCAGAAGGTGGCCTAGGTAACATTCTCTGGATACCCTAGGCATTCTTTTTTTTCCCCCTTCCCCACCCCAGGGTCAGATGGCACAATCTGGGGACTGAGGAGCTCACCCTGAGGGCCACGACGGCTCACCCCGAGCCAGGGGCCGAGGGCAGCCCACCCCGGGCTGAGGGCCGCGACGGCTCGCCCCGAGCCGGAGGCTGAGGGCAGTGACAGCTCGCCCCGAGCTGGGGGCCGAGGGCAGCCCGCCCTGGGCAGAGGGCTGCGATGGCTCGCCCCAAGCCGGGGGCTGAGGGCAGCCCGGAAACTCTTAAATAATGTTGTTTAGGATATAAAATGATAGGACTGCTTTGGAAAATAATTAGGTAATCATGTAAACATCCAGTTGCTATTCAATGTAGGAATTTCATTCCTAGGTTTTTATGATGGTCATTCAGTCAAAAGGTATTTCTACTAGGGTTCCAGATTGTGCATACATGAGTTTCTTCTAAATAAAACCTCATGCTTCTGTGATCAATGAATGACTCCAGACTTTTCCTAAATCCTCTAAAGGCTCCATAGGTAACAAGGTAAACAGTCTCCTCCCATGCGATTTACTGCCTCTGAATGCCTGCTTTGGAGGATCAGTTGGTTCCAACTCAGTAGTTTATAACAACAGTCTCATTGCAGTGCCTTAAAAGGGGAGGGGGGCGGTATGTGTCAAAAAGCATTGTGTGACAGCTGGCTCAAAGAGCTAATCTCCCATCTGTCTTTGAAGAAGCTGATGAAGAGGCTGCTATGAAATAAGTTGGCACCAGGGATGAGTATTGAATTTACCAGTATGATCCAGAGAACAAAATAAAATCAAAACTGTGCCTTCCACAGGTCCCTTTCCCCAGGCTTTTACTGAACCAGTAAAATTCAAAGTAGAAACTTGAGCTCAGAACGTTACAGCAGCTGTTTTTTCTGATCCTAAGATAATAATCTTGATAAGTTTGATGCAGGGAACAGGACAGTCACTGGGACTATTATGGAGAAGTTTTAAGAAAATGGAAAGCTGCAGTTATGAGAAAAAGGCCAGGAAAGTTGCTCCAGAGACTTCTTTTTCATTATGACAGTGAGCTCCTGCCCATCTTTGCGGATGCCAGGGGTAATCCAGTAATAATTCCATGGGGAACCGGCCACCCTACAGCTGCTGCAGCACTTCTCTTGCCTTTTCAAACATCTTTTTGTTCTCAAAACTCAGTATTTTAAAAAGCCACTTTATGAGTCCCTTGGAAATGGCAAACTCTAGTTTTGATGTGATATCATGTAAATTGAAGAGAGATAACTAAAAAGAATAGTGTCTTCATTCCCTAATACTTCAAGCACCACAAAGTGGGTAAGTGGTTTTAAAGAACAGGAATTTCTCTTCTCACAGTACTGTAGGCTGGAAGCCCAGATCCGAGGCTTTGCTCACTCTTCCTTCCTTTGGTCATCCTAGACTTTCCTTGTTTCCTTGATTTGAAGAGGAGCCTTAGATGGTGTCTGCTTGTTTGCTAACTCAGAAATTGTTATATTGAGTATGCCTCATGGGGGGCAGAGAGGTGTGCACAGTTCACATCAGTGAGAACAAGTTAAAATAAGGTCCAGAGGGGATACCAAGTCCAAGAAATAATGTGATTCCATGCAGAGAAAGCTGAAGGACATGACTTGAGTGACTCTCAGTCTGAGCTCCTGATAAAAACCATCATGATGATTAAACTGCTGGGCCCAGTCAGTCTTGCTGTTGAGGTGATCCTGGCTCAGTGACCTAAAGGGTGAGGTGGAGTTGCCTTGTAGGTTTCTAGAGGCCTAAAACTTTAGGAATGCAGATTGCCACAGCTTTCTCCCAAGGAACAGCTTGTAGATTTGAACTGCTAGTGTTTGAGTTAGCAGCCAGGTGTTTCTCCTCTGTGAACCAGAGCTGATTCCTGTTTTCTGAATAGTCCATTAATAATTTTCATCATTTAACCCTATTACTGTGAAAGATTTTATCATCTAGAAATACTAGTAGTGGAAAACTAGAAAGAACTTAAAATGTGGGATTGTTTAAATAATAAAGGACATGGGCATAAAATGATATGAAAGGCAGTTAAGAGAGTTTCTTGGCAATTGTATACAGTTAAAAATTAACTTTTCTTAAAAAGTGATTGCCAAAAGTGGGACTGATTTCCAGGATTCGTATTACATCCCTTCCGCTTTGTCTTCCAGCTTTTTGTTGCTGTTACTGCTTTTGTTTTTATTCCTAGTAGAACGTCAGTCTCATAAGGCTAGACATCTCATAAGGCTAGACATTTTGAGGATTTTGATGAATAATGTATCCCCAGATCCAAGAAAGGGTTTGGCATGTGGGACCTCCTGAGATCACAATTGAATAAATGATCCTTTCCTGATTATACCATAATAATTTTTTCAGACTTAAAGACTTATGTCTTTTATGTTGGTTTTCATTATGCCATTTTGCAGAATTGTCACAAACATTAGCAGCATGTGACATAACCTTGCAGTTCCCATCATAGTATTTTATATCTAACTTGCCAGCATTTCAGAAGTAATATATCAGTATTAGTATCTCCACTTAATGCTTAGATGACATTCTAGAAACTGCAAAACATTTTAAAGTATAAAGTGAAGGGCGCAAAATATTCATAGGAATCATTCACAATAGTTCCAGTTTACGAAAATAACAATGGCTGATAATGTCCTGCTATCTTACATACTATAAACCTAATAAATCCTTTTCCTGGTCAGTAGATTTGCCCCTTTTTACCCCCTCCCCCACTTTGGGCCACGTTCCCAGTGGCCACCCTTCCTTCCCACAGGCTCCAGTGATGATCCTCCTCCCCACTGTGTCCTGCCAGAGCCTTAGCCTGTGCTTCTGAGAGTTCAGTTATATTCTGCGATTTTTTAAGTCGTTCATAGAAACTTGGGCATTTTGGTTGAAGAATGAGGCAGCTGGCTTAGTCTTGCTCTGTTACTTAGAAATTGTTTTGAACAAAATACTCCCCTTCTGGGAACCCAATGTATTCAAACACCACAAAAAGAGGGGAGATGTTAGACTAGGTTCTCCCTCCAAGTTTCCTACTTTCTCTTTAGTTCAGATGTTCTAATGCTAGAACTCAGAACAATTTTTCTGCTGAATTATTAATTTATTGAAAGTATATCATGTTTACAAAGAGATCGGAGTAGAAGACCCTGGGATAGACTAGGTGAAAAACTTTGGGACAAAACTTGAAACCATAGTAAGGTCCAGGCCTACTGGTCCAGGAGAGCCTGTAGAAGAAGCCCAGATGGTAGGGCTCTTGGTCACTCTCCACTCTGAATACAAACTCACCCCATAACTCAACTTTCAGGCCTGTGAGATAATACGCTTAGACTAACCAACTGTGTAAGGTCAGAAGGGTAGCATTTGCCCGTGGATAAAGCCCGGAAGAAAACAAGGGTAGGATACCAGGATCAATGGAAATAAGAATTATAGGTGGGAAGTGAGAAAAGTACCATTAGAGTGTGGGCATTATAATTAATGTTATAATTATTTATAAGATGTGTATAAACTATTCAGAGAAAACTAATGCCTTATAAATTTTCACTCAACTAATAATTTATAAATAAAGTAGGTCATGTGCTATTTAAATACTTTAACCTTCGTAATATCAAGAATAATGCAGTTAATGTGTTAAAATTAATTGAAAGTTTAGAAATAGACAAAGATAGTCTAATATCACTGAATTGTACACATTAAAGATTTTAAATAGAAACATAGCATTACATGTTGTTGGGTACTATCGAGTTAGAAACAGCTCATCTGCGTATTTCATCACAAAAAAATTGTCATTAGTTGAAAGGATGATCAGTGTAACTTTGAATCCCATGGTGCACTTTTTATAGATACTTCTGTATCATGTTGATTAATAAAATGATTCTTTCTTTACTGGTAAAGTGATTTAGAATCAAGAAGAGAGGTAAAAAAAGAAGAAGGTGAAGCTTTTGCACGAGAGCATGGACTTATCTTCATGGAAACTTCAGCCAAGACTGCTTCCAATGTAGAAGAGGTAAACTGCCTTTTTGTTTGTCCTCTTTTACATCAGTAAAAATACTTTATTTATTGGTATAACTTTACTTATTGGAATTTCTGTTATAGCTCATAGCTTTGAATATTATCAAGTAAAAAGGGATACTTGAATTTCTTCCCTTTGAAATAAATGCCTCTGAAAACATACATTCTTCTCTTTGATACATCTTTGTATTTCCCCTAAAAACTTTTCTTTTGTTTTATTGAGGGGGGGGCAACACTAATGAAATTTTAAATAGTTCTAGAAACTGAATAAATATTTGTAGCTATTTTTTACCTTCTTCTAGCTAGCCTCAAATGTTTGTTATCTCAAAATATTCCCAAATCATTTGTAGCTATTTTTATCTACTTCAGTTTAGATGCCAGCCCTGGTAGCACAGTGGATTAATAACCACACTGCTAACTAGAAGATTGATAGCTTTAATCTGTCAGCCATTTCACAGGATAAAAATGAAGCATCCTGCTTCCATAGCCATCTACCATTATAGGACAGTTCTGCTCTGTACTGCATGAGTCAGATTTAACTTAATGGTAGGGGTTGGTTAGTTCTTATTATGTCTGTTGAAATACTGCTGTGTGACATTTTACAAAGCATGGAAATTCGGCCATTGTTAGTAGGTGACATATACATTATCTCACATACTTGCATTGAAACTGAAAATTTTCTGTACATAATTGTGTTTTCTTATGTGTGTTTGGATGGATGTGGTGTATACTCTACCTGTATGGTTGAAAGTTAATCTTTATATCTTGCAGGAAAATGTGTTACTGTGCTCAATTTTATATATAAAAAAGAAATGAACTTCTCCAAAGTATTAAAGAACGATCATGCTCTTATTTATTTATTAATGGCTAAGTTGTGCCTGCTTCAAGAACACATGATTCAAGGTGTGTCTTTTTAGTCACCTGCTGTACATTTAAGAGCTCTAGTGTCCTAGTGGCAAGAAGCTGCACTTCAGTCCTGCAGGCTTGGGGTTGAGGCCACCAGCTGGCTCTAAGGGAGAAGGATGGGCAATCTTCTCCCAGGTGCTTAATTGCCTCTGAAGATCCACCGGAGGGTCAGCTATGGGTCAGTTTTGACTCTTCGGTACACAGTAGCAGCTATGCATTTGAGAGCTGTACATTGAATAAAGATGACAGAAGAAGGATCAATGCCTTTGAGTTTTTTATTTTTTTAAATTTTTTTTCCCCTTTGAGTTTTGATGTTGGAGAAGAGTACCGAGTATCCCATGAAGTGCAATAGTCGCTATAGAAGTAGATTTAAAGCTATTTTACAGCACCACTGCATAGGTTTGAACTGTCATCATTAAGATGAATAGTCTAGCACAAATTGTACCACCAAGAAATCTCTCTGTGACAATTTTACTTTCCTGGACAATTGTCTTTAATTTGATCCGGGTGTCTTGTGTGTTCTTAGAATTGTAAAAGCAATACGGGAAAGTGAGAGCTAACCAGACTGTAGTGAGACTACAGCAACCTGGTGGAACCAGACAGAGCCAGGATTAGAGCCTTTGAGACAGCAACCTTAACCCCAGGAGAGAAGAAGAGCAGAGAAAACAGGGCACATCCTTCTGGGCCGGAGGTTCCTGTACTAGAGATTCTTGCTGTTAACTGTGAAGCTCCTGGATTAATTGAGAAACTGTGTCTTGACTGAGAAACTAAACTAATTGAGAGATTGTGACTTGCTGTTAACCTGATTTTTGCTGAGCCTTGAGTTACACTGTGTGATATTCTTTGCCTTCCTCCCTCTCCCCAATCTGTTTCCCTAATAAACCCCACAACTACAAGTAAAAAGACCAAAAAAAAGGATATTAATTTGATAAGAAAAAAGAAGTTTTCCCAAAATATTGTAGTTTATTTCCTCTGGGTAAGATGTAAGAGCAGCTGGAGAAAGGAGTTCTAGAAAATTATTGATTAAAAAATCCCCTTGTTGTGAGAGTGACAAGAGGATGGATGGGGTCCTGGACAACAGCCAGCACCTGGAGAAAGCAGTCAGTAATTCTGATTTAGAATAGTATTTGGAGCTCTTCTGAATACCCCCTGAGTCATAATTTAGCTGTGGTAACTCTCAACATTGGTATTCAGAGTAATTAACACACTTGGCTGTTCACTAAAAGGTTAGGCATTTGAGTTTACCAAGAATGCCTTGGAAAAAAGACCGGACAATAGAGCAGATAACCTGAAGTTTAGTAGTTCAGACCTACTAGTTGCTCCAAGGAGAACGATAAGGCAGTCTTTGCTTTATAGCCTCATTAGCTCTGTTGAGGGTTGGCATGAGTCAGAACATACTTCATAGCCATGGATATAGGCTTGGTAAATTCCCTTGGTGCTGTAAACCATTTATACACTTGGCTGGTCACTAAAAGGTTGGAGGTTTGAGGCCAACCACAGGCAGCTTGGACAACAGACTTGGTGATGCATTTCTAAAAGGTCAACCTTTCAAAATAGCACAGTTCTGCTCTGACGCACATGAATCATATTAAGTTAGAATGGGCTCAGTAGTAACTGGTGGTGGTCATATCTCTTGAGTTGCTCTATAACTGTTCTTAATGCATTTTTGTACAGGCACCAGCCAATCTTTTATCTATTGTAGCCAGTAACTAAACTTGATAATATAAATACATAAAAGTGACAGTTAACTTTACACAGCAAGACCCAAAAGAAATCTCATCATTCCCTATGTCAAGCTTTGTGTTATATGTGAAACATTAAGCGGTAGCGTTTTTATCAGTGTGAATGTCAAGACATCTGAAATATAGCTTTACTTATTATGTATTTTTTTACAGCTTCTGTCATGACAGAAATATCTAGTCACATATCTCTTTTAAACAGTTTTCTCCCTCCTCTGTTTCAGTGCAGTATACATTATTGAACCCATCTTACT